AGATTCATGGTTTGTTATTGTTGCGTGGGGAGACATTTTCAGCACGAAGATTCAAGTTATCCGCCGTTAGGGTGGTGATGTAATTCTTTAGTGTCAGGATCATTAGTCATACCTGGGAGCATATCAGATGGGTTAAATCATATGAAGGTAGTAGAGGTAGAGAGGGAGTCAGTCACGGTTGGTGTTGTAGCTGAGTCACCTTGGTTGGTGGGTGAGGGGGAGTCTGCCATGTTTGTTGCTGTTGATGTGTCGCTCTGGGTGGTGAGGGGGGTGGATGGGGCCCCGGCGTCCTGCTGGGTCATCTTATGGAATAGTCAACTACTAGGTGCTGCCTTGCTGTTTCTTCTATGAGTTGGTCTCATAGTAGTACAGGAGTTGCTGTGGTTAGTTGAAGAAACTAAATTAAACCTTTCAGGGTTTCGGCTGTACTAGTACGGCTTACGTGCCAGGGATTTTGACGTACTAGTACCCCTAAATTCTAGTGCCCTCAAATCTAGTGAGAGAAAGCTGGTAGGCCTACATATGAAAGAATGGGTCTATGTGGTCAGTGTGCGTGGTATAAAAAAAATCCTGCAGCACAAAGTGCGTAATGAGAAAAAAAAAATTGACCATGTTTTTGGATTAAAACAGCGACTTTGCACTGTATTTTCGTATGGTATTTATAGTTGCATTCAAGTTTTCCTGGTCTCATTTTACAGAATAGAAGACATATTACAAAAACTGAGATGATTTTGACTGGTTTTACAAAGAAAAGTACCTTGAAATTGAGCTCAAATAGCAGAAATGTTCGATTTTTACCGAAGTTCAAAAGTAAACAAATCTTGCTATGTGTCCAATACACGTCAACTGGTGAGTCTAATATTCTTTCACAAATGCGCTGATATTTTTTATACCATTTCTATACTAATGCAGTAGTCTGTATAACAGTAAATCTTCCATTTTTTTTGTGAGAATAAAAATTCAAAGTGGAAAGCAAAAGAATGTAAGAGGGGCGTGAGGACGTGACTAATGAACAGAGGAAATGTTATTTTAGTTAAGCCAGGAATGTCTTTCTTGTTTATTCTAGACCCTATTCGGAAATTGGCATCTTTTGAAATTTGTGTGAAACTGGCAAAATTGCTAAATTCTGACCACTGTATTGGATAGTTGAAATCGGTAAATGGGTGGTTTCTTGTACTCATTCCATAGAAAAAATGGAGTTCTAGCAAAATAGTTATGATTTTTGTTGACAAGTACATTGGAATTGGCTGAAAATAGGGCTCAAAGTGGGCAAAACCGCCGATGCGTAAAACATCGTAGAGACCGCTAACTTCGCGAGAGCATAATTCCGTAAGTTTTCCATCAAATGTCATACTTTTGGTGTCATTATGATCGGGAAAAGCTTCTCTATCTTTTCATAAGAAAAAATAATTTTTTTGTTTTTTTTTTTAAATTTGGCCGACCCTGAGAACAAGTCTCTGAGAGGGCCTGTCGACCCTGAAAGGGTTAAGAGCTTGGAGTAGGTAGTCGTCTGGCAGTGGGGCTTGCTTTGAGTTTGTGAGGCAGTCTTTGCTTCAATCACTAATTTTTCAGTTTGTAGGTATCACTTTTGTTTATCTTGGGTCATGCTGGGTTCTACGTACGTTAGTGCAATTATGATTGCAATTAGGCCATCATAGAAGCGTTGATGGGCTCTGCAGGTGAGAAAAATGACTGAGCTTGCTGCATCTGCATGATGATGATGATGATGATGATGATGATGATGATGATGACGGATGATGATGACAGATGATGATGACGGATGATGATGATGGATGATGATGATGGATGATGACTGATGATGACTGATGATGACTGATGATGACTGATGATGATTGATGATGATGATGATCACCGAGTCTCATTAAATGTCGTATATTACTTTAATATACATATTTTCATTAATCCATCTATGATGGGTAACTGTAGAAAATTATTCCTTTCGTATGTAAGTTTATTCAGGTATACAGTACACAAATACAGTTACACAGATTATCATACATAGCAGTATATATGTAAAATACTTAAGATAGCCCAAAAAAAAGTCCATGTGACTTATTTCCATTGCCTTCACTCAGTGCTTCATTTCTTCTAAAAATGGTGTTACATGAGAATGGGAGTGTTCTTCTTTATTTATTCCTCCGTATCAATGTAGAGACAACTTGTACACAATGTAACTTGCACACAAACGGGACGTGTACATTTTGTTTGTTTACAAAACTTGTGTTCACCTGGTTTGTTTACACAACTCTGCACCTGTCCTCCCTCATGTACTCATTCTCTTTCATTTATTTGTTTTATCTCATTTACTCACCTCTGACCCTACATTAGACTACAAATATTTTAAGGTAAGTATTGAGTGAACTGTATATGCATTTTATCGCTCTGGGATGCTTAAATGTCAGAATATTATGTGTGGGTGGGTTGGCCTGGCATGGTAGCCCGGCTGACTACCATACATACCACACTTGATTTCTTACAATAAATACTACTCATCTCACCTAGATTAAGACTACAAATATTTTAAGGTAAGTAATGAGTGAACTGTACAGTGGACCCCCGCCTTACAATATTAATCTGTTCCTGATAGCTCATCGTAAGCCGAACTTATCGTCAGCCGAATTAATTTTCCCCATGAGAAATAATGGAAATCAAATTAATCCCTTCCTGACACCCCAAAGTATGAAAAAAATTTTTTTTTTTTACCACATGAAATATTAATTTTAATACACACAAACTGAAGAAGACATGCACAATTACTACTCTACTAAGAATAGAATACATGACACTTACCTTTATTGAAGACCTGGTGATGATTGATGGGATGGGAGGAGGGGAGAGTGTGGAAGTTATTGTTTAGAAGGGAAATCCCCTTCCATTAGGACTTGAGGTTTACCTGGAGGTAGCAAGTCCTTTTCCGGGGTTACTTCCCTTCTTCTTTTAATGCCACTAGGACCAGCTTGAGAGTCACTGAATCTCTGTCACACAACAAATCTGTCCATAGAGCTCTGTACCTCCCGTTCCTTTAAGACTTTCCTAAAATGAGCCATAACATTGTCATTGTACAAGTTGCCAACACGGCTTGCAGTAGCTGTGTCAGGGTGATTTTCATCCGTAAAGGTTTGCAGTTCAACCCACTTTGAACACATTTCCTTGATCTCTTTTCTCAATTCCATACTAATTCTTGCCCTTTTTACACAGGGATGGCACTAGAAGCTTTCTTGGGGTCCATGGTGACTTATTTTGCAGTTATAAGCACTAAAAATACTGGGATAATGTGAAATGTACCGAATGTATGCGTAGATGGGACCGCACTGGTTGGCTTGTAAACATGGCGCTGAGGCCACACGTGGGATGCGTCCCAGATGAATCACGTAAGGCGAGTTTTTTATCATGAGGCGAGGCAAAAATTTTTGCATTCAAATGCTTTGTATGGGGGATTTAATGTAACACTATGCATTTGTAAGGTGGGGTCCATTGTACGTATATGCATTTTATCGGTTTGGGATGCTTAAATGTCATAGAATATTATGTGTGGGTGGGGTGGCCTGGTATGGTAGCCTGACTGACTACCACACATACTACTCATCTCACCCTAGATTAACCCTTTGACTGTCGCAACCCCCAATCCTGAGGTGTCTCCTGGTGTCGCAAAATTTAAAAAAAAAAAATTATTTTTCTTATGAAATGATAGAGAATCTTTTCCCGATTGTAATGACACCAAAAAAAACGAAATTTGATGGAAAACTGACGGAATTATGCTCTCGCGAAGTTAGCGACCTCAGCGATGTTTACAAATCGGCGATTTCGCCAACTTTGAGCCCTATTTTCAGCTAATTCCATTGTTCCAGTCGCCCAAACTCATAGCTATTTCTTTAGAAATCCATTTTTTCTATCGATTGAGTACAAGAAAATGCCCATTTACGATTTCAACTACCTAATAATGTGGTCAGAAATTTGGAATTTGGCCAATTTCATGAAAAATAAAAAATATGACAATTTCAAAATAAGGTCCAGAATGAACAATGTAGACATTCCTGGCTCTAAAATAACATTTTCTTTGTTCATCAGTCACATCTCTAGTCCCCTCTGATATTACTCTTGCTTTCTATTTTGAATTTTTATTCAAACAAAAAATAGAAGACTTACTATTATGCAGACTACTGCAATACTGTAATAATTGTATAATAACATCAACTCATTCGTGACTGCATATTAGAATGGCTAATTGGACATTTATTGGACAATGGCATCATTTGTTTACTTTTGAACATTGGCAAAAATCAAACATTTCCCCTACTTTGAGCTCCATTTCTAGGTTTTTTTTTATAGTAAAATCAATCAAAATCACCTCTATTTCTATAATATGTTTTCCATTCTATCAAATGAGACCAAGAAAATGAGAATACAACCATAAATACTATACGAAAATAGACCACAAAGTTGGCATTTTAATTAAAAAAAACAGTCGGAGTTTTTTTTTTCTCATTATACACTGCGTGCTCCAGGATTTTTTTTATATGGTGCACACTGACCACACAGACCCATTCTCTCACATGTGGGCCTACCAGCTTTCTCCTGCTTGATTTGAAGCCGCTGGAATTTATGAGTATAGTATATACGTCAAACACGGTACCTCGTAAGACGTACATATACGGCCGCGACAGTCAAAGGGTTAAGACTACAAATATTTTAAGGTAAGTAACGAGTGTACTATATGTGTATTTTACTTTTTTATTGTTTTTTAATGCCTAGTTCTATTGCTAACTTAATATATGTTAGTGTAAACTTGTTATCTAGTATTTATACACATTTATAAGTGGAAAAAAGGGTGTTCCACTTTACGGCAGTAGCCTGGAACCTAACCTGCTGTATAAGTGGGGCCCTACTGTATTATAATCTACAGTCAGCATCTCACTCTCATTTGAATTTCCATAATTCCTGAATTAACACTTGTACCCAAACTTTATATTCATACTCACATAATTTATAGGCGGTGGTGGATGAATAAGAGCAGTGCATTTAAGATGGAGTTTAAGATTGGTCAACCAGTTTACCATAGAATCTCTCTGAGCATCTTCACCTTCTTCCTCAATTGCCTGCAATCTTGAACACGCTGTAGACAAAATCATCTTGCGGCTCTCCTCACTTTCTAAGTAGGAAAAAAAATACTGTAATGCTCTAATACACACTTATTCTTGAATATTTATATTAGATTCTTGAAGAAACATCAGTATCTGAAAAAGACTTTTTTTTAACACACTGGCAGTTCCACTGAGCCAGGGTGACCCAAAAAGAAAGAAAAAACTTTCATCATTCAACACTTTCACCATCACTCATATATAATCACTGTCTTTGCACAGGCACTGAGATATGACAGTTTACATGTCACTCCAGACTGCCAATATCCCAAACCCCTTCTTTGACCTTCTGAGGGTCCGTCCTGTGGTTCTACAGCTTTGAAGCCAGGGTTCAAGCCATAGCACTATGTCATGAGCTCAGCTCAATCAGACAAGTTGTGAACAGTAAATCTGAGCCTAGATATGAGAGAATGCATTGATGTGGCAAGTGTGCACCATATAAAACAAACCCTGCAGTACATAACAAGAAAAAAACTGCAACTGTGTTTTTGGATTAAAACAGCAATTTTGCAGTGTATTTTTGTATGGTTTTTATGATTGTAATTGCTGTTTCTTGGTCTCATTTGATAGAATGTAATATATATTATAGAAACAGAGATAATTTTGACTGGTTTTAGCAATGAAAATAGGTCGAAAATGAGCTCAAAGTAGCAAAAATGTTTGATTTTTGTAGACGCTCAAGAGTAAACAAATGATGTCATGCATCCAATACACGTCAACTGGTGGGTCTAATATATGTTCACAAATGTGCTAATTTCATAAAATTATTACAATATTGCATAACATCATCAAGTGAATAAAAATTCTATGTGAATAAAAAATAGAAATGGAATTCATCTGAAAAGCCAGAAAACGTAACTAATAAACAGAGGAAATGTTATTTTAGTGCCAGGAATGCCTACATAATTTATTCTGGACCCTATTTTGAAATTGGAATATTTTGAACTGTGTGAAATTGGCCAAATTACCAATTTCTGATCACTTTAGTGGGTAATTGAAATACAGTGGACCCTCGGCTAATGATATTTATCCGTTCCTGACAGCTCATCATTAGACGAAATTATCGTTAGCCAAATTAATTTTCCCCATAAGAAATAATGGAAATCCAATTAATTCATTCCAGACAGCCAAAGTATTAAAAAAAGAAAATTTTTTTCTTCATGAAATATACATTTCCATTAAAAAAAAAAAAAAAAAAAAAAAAAAAAAAAAAAAAAAAAAAAAAAAGGGGGGGATAGTTATATGCTTTTTTTCCCTGTTCACCTGGGTGTTAGTCGACTGGTGTGGGTCACATCCTGGGGGCAAGATTAAGGACCCCAATGGAAATCAGTTAGACAGTCCTCAATGACTCACTGATTTTCTTGGGTTATCCTGAGTGGCTAACCCCCTGGGGTTAATTGTTCCTCAGTAACTGTTTCTCGTTAAGCCACACCAACAAAAGTCTCTCCATATTTTCGAGTAGTACAGCTTACAGTGATGCAGCAACAGTTGACGGTGGTGCAGCAACAGATGACCAAGGTACAATAGTACAGTGGACCCACGACCAACGATGGCATCGTCTAATGTTAAATCCGACCAGCGATACATTTTAACGCAAAAATTTTGCCTCGACTAGCGCTGAAAAACTCGACCAACACGATTCGTTCCGTTTTAGACGCGTCCACTTGTGGCCAGTGTTTACAAGCCAGCCAACCACCGCAGGTCCCATCCAAACATACAATCGGAAACATTTCATATTATCACAGCGTTTTTAGTGATTGCACCTGCAAAATAAATCACCATTGGCCCCAAGAAAGCTTCTAGTGCCAACCCTACAGCAAAAAGGGTGAGAATTACTATGGATATGAAGAAAGAGATCATTGCTAAGTATGAAAGTGGAGTGCGTGTCTCCGAGCTGGCCAGGTTGTACACAAAACCCCAATCAACCATCGCTACTATTGTGGCCAAGAAAACAGCAATCAAGGAAGCTGTTCTTGCCAAAGGTGCAACTATGTTTTCGAAACTGAGATTGAAAGTGATAGAAGATGTTGAGAGACTTTTATTGCAGGAGATAGCATCTCTCAAGCGATCATATGTGAAAAGGCTAGGAAGTTGCATGAGGATTTAATTAGAAAAATGCCTGCAACTAGTGGTGATGCGAGTGAATTTAAGGCCAGCAAAGGTTGGTTTGAGAGATTTAAGAATCGTAGTGGCATACATAGTGTGATAAGGCATGGTGAGGCTGCCAGTTCAGACCAAAGAGCAGCTGAAAAATATGTGCAGGAATTCAAGGAGTACATAGACAGTGAAGAATTGAAACCTGAACAAGTGTTTAATTGTGACACTGACAATGTTGTGAAACACTTTAGGAATGTCATAAAGGAACGGGAGGTACAGGCCTCTATGGACAGATATGTTGTGCAACAGAGGTCCAGTGACTCAAGCTGGTCCTAGTGGCATTAAAAGAAGAAAGGAAGTAACCCCAGAAAAGGATTTAACACCTCAAGTCCTAATTGAAGGGGATTCCCCTTCTAAACACTAACACCATCCACACTCTCCCTCGTCGCATCCCATCCAATCATCACCAGATCTTCAATAATGGTAAGTGTCGTGTAATTGTACATGTCTTCTTCAGTTTGTATGTATTAAAATTAATATTTCATGTGGTAAAATTTTTTTTTTCAATACTTTTGGGTGTCTTGCACAGATTAATTTGATTTCCATTATTTCTTGTGGGGAAAATTAACTCAACTAACAATAATTTCCATTAACGATGAGCTCTCAGGAACGGATTAATGTTGTTGGTCGAGGGTCCACTGTATTTCGATAGTATTTCTCACCCTTTTTACCACAGGGTTGGCACTAGAAGCTTTCTTTGGGCCCATGGTGGCTTATTTAGCAGTTACAAGCACTATAAACAATGGAATAATACAAAATGTATCGAATGTAGGCATGAAACTGGTCACCCTGGCTTGTAAACTATGATGGCAGGGCAGCTGAGGAGCTCAGGCTGGACGGACAGGTACGGGGCGAATCACGCTGGGCGAGTTTTTATCGTTAGCCAAGTCAAAATTTTTATGATCAAACGCTTCGTTGGGCGGATTTAACGTTATGCGATGCGTTCGTTAGCCGAGGGTCCACTGCAGTTGATTGGGCAGTTTCTTGTGCTCAATCAATAAAATAGAAGTAATACTAGAAAAATAGTTGGGAATCTGGTTGACTGGAATAATGTAATTGGCCTAAAATGGAAGTCCAAGGGGGGCAAAATCGCCGATGCACAAATATAGCTGACGCAGCAAAATTCGCAACGGTGTAATTTCGTCAGTTTTCAATCAAATTTCGCACTTTGTATTTTATTACCTTCAGAAAAGGATTCTCTACCATTTCATAAGAAAAAACAACAAATTTTTTTTGGGGGGGAAAATTCTTGTACCCTGTAGACAGGTTTCAGATTGGGGGTCTGGACCCTGAATGGGTTGAAGTGCACTGTAATTGCCATTTCCAGGACTCAAGACCAGCTAACCGGTTTCCCTGAATCCCTTCACAAAATATTACCCTGCTCACACTCCAACAGCCCGTCAGGTCCCAAAAACCATTTATCTCCATTCACTCTTAACACGCTCTTGCACACTTGATGGAAATCCAAGCCCCTTCCCCCACAAAACCTTCTTTACCCTCTCACTCCAACCTTTCGAGGACAACAACTACCCAACCAACCTTGCCCTACAGATTTATTTTGCTCTCCAAGTCATTTTACTTTGTTCCATTTTCTCTAAATGACCAAACCACCTCAATAACCCCTCTTCAGCCCTGTGACTAATACTTTTAGTAACCCCACACCTCCCCCTAATTTCCACACTACAAATTCTCTGCATAATATTTACACCACACATTGCCCTTAGACAATGTGTGGAAGTGTCCTTGGCCCTCTTCTCTTTCTCCTATACATAAATGACCTTCCAAATGCTTCGCAATTACTCAAACCCACACTATTTGCAGATGACACTACATACGTCTTCTCTCACCCGAGCCCAGTCACACTAGCCAATACTGTAAATACCGAATTACAGAAAATATCTACCTGGATGAGGACTAACAAACTTACACTAAACATTGACAAAACCTACTTCATTCAGTTTGGTAACAGAGCTACAGATGTCCCTCTTAACATAATGATAAACGGATCACCTATCACAAAGCTAACAGAGGGAAAATTCTTAGGAATCCACCTTGATAATAGACTCAAATTTCATACACATATACAACAAATTTCTAAGAAAATTTCCAAAGGGACTGTAGGCATACTATCGAAGATACGGTACTATGTTCCACAGTCAGCCCTCCTGGCCCTATATCACTCTCTTATTTACCCCTATTCACCTATGGAATTTGTGCATGGGGCTCAACAACAATTAACCATCTCAGACCACTAATTACCCAACAAAAGGCCCGCAGTTAGAATGATAACAAATTCTCACTACAGGCCCGCACCCCTCCACCAAAATTCAATACACTAAACCCACTAACCATACAAAACATCCATACTTTTTACTGCAAACCCATTACATACATAGAACACTTAACTCTGATATTAACCCTCCCCTCAAACATCTCCCTTTCCAACCTCAACAGAACACATGACCATAACACAAGGCACAGATCACTCTTTGATGTTCCTCGTGTCCCCTCTCACACTATGCAAAAACTCAATGCACATAAAAAGCCCTAAAATCTGGAATTCATTACCTGTAAATATAAAAGAAACACTACCTGTTTTTAAATTAAGTCTCTACTCCAAAGATCACTTACTCACCCAAAACCAAATAAATACTGAATAAAATGAAACCTTTAAATTGTATATCTTTAAAAGTTTCTCACAATTATATCCCCATAAATGTTAAACCCAAAACCGAATCTAACTTTATTTTTTTAAATACACTACCTAACAGAATCCTTCATATGACTGAATGCAACCATATGACCTGTCTTTGTAATACTCACTTGTGCTTTATAGTAATCTGTTTACATTAAT